AACACCCCCCTCTGGTGTTAAGAAATGAGAAATACATCGAGTGCATGAGATTGACCAAGTATGCTGATCCTTTAGAAAATAGACCTCAAATTGAATCGACTACTGCAGGGGTAGGCAACCTGCGGCATGTGAGCCAATTTTCAGTGGCACTCTCACTGCCCGGGTCCTGGCCACCGGTCCGGGGGGCTCTGCATTTTAATTTAATTTTAAATGAAGCTTCTTAAACATTTAAAAAACTTTATTTACTTTACATACAATAGTTTAGTTATATATATTAGACTTACAGAAAGAGATCTTCTAACAATGTTAAAATGTATTACTGGCACGCAAAACCTTAAATCAGAGTGAATAAATGAAGACTCGGCCCACCACTTCTGAAAGGTTGCCGACCCCTGCACTACTGTATAACCATTACATGGGGTTTTGTACACCAAGCAACCAGTGAAAATCTTATGCAGAAGACAAATTGTTTACCTGACAGTGTTCACTTCCCCCCCCTACTATAAGCAAAGTGAATATAGCATCACTTAATCATACAGATTTAAAAGTAGAATAATGCAATGTTCAAAATAGCAAATTCAAATGGCTTCAGAAGACGTACAAGTTGTCTTCTGTATAGTCTTCACAGCAATGACATACTGAGAATGCTGGAAAATGATTGGACAAACAATATGCCACAAGTAATCACAGGATTCTGATGTGAACTTGTGTGCATAGAAGATAGACTTAAGTTATTAACACTATGTTTTGTGACACCAAAATCTTCTGTCTCTTGCCATCTTGGACAGGTTTCCTCTCTTCAGCTTCTGACAACCGTGCCCTTCTACCTTAACTACATCCTATGCTCCTTTCAGTTCAATATCCTTTCTACAGTATTCTGAATTTATTTGCTAAAGGTTACATTGTCTAATTGGGCTGGTAAGATGTATTCTATCTTTTAATTTAACTACTGTATATTAAATCTCTTGCAATCAAGAGTGGGAAACAATTATACAACTTTGTCCTTTGTATATTACTGAAGCTCCAGTGTTGTGTAGTGCTTCATGCTCTTATGTCTGTACAGTATGCTTCAGACTATCATGGCACAATATAGCAACCGTAGGTGAAATCACACCTCCATTAAAGTCAAAGATAAAACTTGCATTGCCATTACTGAAGGTATGACCTTACCCCATGGTTTGTGCACTGTAGGCAGCAGTTTTTCAGCCTTTTGGAAGAGTCTTCTCTTGTGCATGTCTTTTGATTCTTATTGTCCAAAACAAACTCCTTTTGAAGTATCAAAGCTAGTAGTCTAACTGGAACACTAAAGATTGTGACTGAATGCAGTGACTTTACACAAAGTGCTTTTTGAACTGAAGTGCCAAAAAAACAAAAACCCCACCTGTTAACTGTGTGTTAACAACTAAGCTACATTGCTCCATAGTGAATTAGACACATTTTCCATTTACATTTATAGAGTCCAAGTTTCAAAAGTTGATCTAATTGCACTTCCAAACCCCTGGTTGAGACCATGTTAATTGCACTTCCCTTTAGAAGTGATTTCTTTTTTGTACACTGAAAAGACAATTTTACATTGTGGAATGTCATGTACACTTTACTAGACCTTACAAGAATACTGTAGTGTTTGACTTTGTCTCAAAACTCTACTTGTCCATGAATTCCACAGAAAAGCTATATTACAAGCGCTTATTTGCCTTTGGAACTAGTTAACTGCAATGGGCCAGGTGTGTGTTAGTGGCTTGTGAAGACTAACTGATGCTCCATTCACTTAATCAGGTATTTCCACCACTGTAACTAAACCCCAAGACCCGAGCCACAAATGAACACATCAAAAATATGCATAAATCACACTTTTATTGATGCAGTAATGAGTTTTGCAATATAGGGCACATGTTTTAAGAAATACTTAAAAATAACCTGTGCTAATGATAAAACAGGATGTTATGTCACTGGAATACATGGGTATGTTTTTAGTAACAAGATTTTTAGAAATTGTTCACTCTTATTTTACTGCAACACCAAACTTACATCAGGCTAGGTCCCTGCAAAACACTGCTAAACATGTAAACTTTGACAAGCTTTTAAAGTGCTGTGAAAATCATGAGATGTGCATTTCTTCATGCAATATAAAATGTTTGTGAAAGGCCACATGATTAGTTTGTTATGCTTCTTTCCTCCCTTCTTCAGGAAAAGGAATTGAGTGCTGGTGAAAAGGGCCAGATTGGCAACATGGAAGCTGAAGTCCTATAATTAATCAGAACTTGTCCCACACAGGTCAGCTTCAAAAGGATAGTAGTGTGCTTCAACCTGTACCAAGGAATCTACCTCTAGGGGTAAGAAGTTCAGTTTCCATGGCCCATTCAATCTCTAGTCTCAGCTGAAACTTTCAGCATGGAAATTAGTGCTAATAATATTTTGAGGGAGTTGTAAGGACATCAGTCCATATCTGATGGTATTTTTTGGGTCATTATGGACAGATGACAAGCTTCATCCCCAAATGCCAGTTACCTGAGCTTAAGTTCCATGCGGTCTTGAAAAACTAATTTTAGAAAGTGTTCACAATTAGTATCTTGGAGCTACAAGTAGTAATGCTTCAGTGCAAGTCAATTAACAGAGGTGTTGAAAAAGTCAGAGGTTAATTCCCCTGAGATAAGGAAATCACTCATATTTCCATGTCTGTACTGTAAAAAAAGGGCGCACACATGCTAGTAGTAATCAGACAATGAAGCTAGCACAAACTTATAAGGTCTTACCATAAGAGAAAACATGTGAAGTTGCTTTTTCAAATATTTTACAATTTATCCCCCCAGAAAATTTAGATTTTCTGCCTGGGAGGAAGGTAACTGACCACTTTCCATCTCTTAGATTCTGTAAATTACTCTGCTCTGTTAAAATTCAATGTCTTAATTTTTCAAAGTTAATTGTTACACTAAAAAAATCTGAACAAGTATTACAGCAGTTCAGTTGTGATTTCAGATCCAAATCCATCTGATTTTCTAGGTAACTAAACACATTCAAGCAATGAGTGACACTTGCATTAAACACAATATAGAAGATTCAATTAAATAAAGCAGACTTTTTTTTAGTATTAGAACAGGGCAAATAAACACTTGTGACCATGCTATCCACTTCAGAGATCCATTGAAGATAAAGTTTGGACTTGGTTACAACGTATGCAAAGATTTATCAAGTCTTATATTGCATATTCCAGAGCACAAAACTAAAGGATTTTGCTGTACAGAAGTTATGTTCCCAAAAGCCAAGAATAAGTTTGCTAACATGGCACACAATAATAGTGCTTTGCACTTATGTAGCACCTTTCATCCAAGCACTTTACAAACATCAATCCATTAGTCTCACAATACCTCGGTGAGGTAGATATTATACCCATTTTATAGATGAATATACAGACTGAGGTGTAGCAATTTGTCCAGGGTGTGTCACCCATTCACTGACAAAGTTGGGAATATAATGTAGGAGTCTGATAGTCCCTTGGTCTAGTCAGTAACCCAAGTTCCATCTCAAGTGTTTATAATACAGTATCTTTCATGTTCCGAGCTTTAAGCATCTGCTTCTAGTGAAGCATTAAAAATAGTTTAAAACAAGTCTAAAAGCTAGGTGGGCTTAACACTGGCAGCTAACTTGATTTCTGTAACAAACTCATGAGTGCAATGTAAGTTAATACTGAGTAAAAGAATTCTGGTCCATTATACTCTTGGTGATTATACTATTTATATACTACTTTGTATAGACCTTAATCCAGCAAGACACCCTATGCACATTAACTACAAGCACATTCCTAGTTCCACGGAGGGTCCATAGAACTATCCCTATACTTAGATAGGCATGAGGGCTCCAATTCAGGAAATTACTTAAGTAGGTGCTTAAGGGGGCTTTCCTGAATCAGGGCTTTAGTTAGGATAGCCGTAGTAATTTGTTTGTCTTTGAATAACTAGAAGTTTCCATTCCTGAAGCTGACACATTGCTACTTTATTATGAAGATGTGTATCTTTGTTCCCCATTTGCACAAGCATTCAAAAGGCATTTCAGACCCAGAACAAAGTAACAAAACATGGCTAAAAGAGTTTAAATGCCTTAACACGTGTTGAGGCATTCTAAGAAATAATTTCAGTAATAAGCACATCTACAGCATCTTTAATTTAGATATCAAAGCACTCTACATTAAGCCTCACACTCCCCCATAAAGTGAGATTTCTTTATTGTACCAGTTTTGACATCCTTGCTTTTGTCATTTCAGAAGTAGAGCATTTTACCTAGCTTATTTTGTTGTGAAAAACTGCTCCATTCCTTATTAGAATAGAGGTCTTGCTACTTAATCACTGGGGAGAAATCAAGCAAGTTAAAGGGCAGCTGGCAGAATGCAAACAAAGAAACTTTTTGGATAAATGCTCTGACCTTCTGAAAAAAGAACGAGCCTTTGAACTGTAAGAGTGAGAACCAAAGATTAAAAAGTGCTAACACAATATCTGGAGCCTGGTACAGCTTATTAACACTTTCAGTGGCCACAAGAACAGCCACATTTAAGCAAAACTATATTTTAATGTTTAACCAATACAATCTGTAATTTGAATCTCAACTACTGTAATTCCTTCTTGCTGGAATTGAGATCATATTGTTACCAAGGATCCAAGTATTTCAAGAAACATGCCAACATCCTGATGCAGTGTAAACAGAGGGGTTGACAGTTAATTTTCAAGCAACTAAACTACATTTCAAGTAGTATCTATGGAAAAATATTAAATTTATTGGGTACTTAACTATCTACTCATTAATTTTAAAAAGGCTCTCACTACAGCCACTATCAGACTGTACATTCTACTTTTGTTCATTTATCAGGGGGTAGCCGTGTTAGTCTGTATCTACAAAAACAACAAGGAGTCTGGTGGCACCTTAAAGACTAACAGATTTATTTGGGCATAAGCTTTCGTGAGTAAAAACCTCACTTCTTCGGTTTTTACTCACGAAAGCTTATGCCCAAATAAATCTGTTAGTCTTTAAGGTGCCACCAGACTCCTTGTTGCTTTTGTTCATTGTGACCTAATACAGGGCAACTTTGGTGTTACCATTTCTATATGAAGTATGCACTATAGGCATCTCTGTTGCAAAAATTGCTTGAATATATAAGAGTTACTATGTAACTCTTCGTACAAAATGCTGATAGGCACATGAATATGCCAAACTATGACCAGTTTACAAGTACTGAAAGATTATAACTAAACCCAATAATTCAGAGTTTAGATTGCAACTGTTACTCTAAGTCTATGTAACTCTAGGTACAGTATTGTATGTATGTCCAGCCATGTCACACAGCAGCTTCTCCATCAGAAAATAAGGTTCTTCAGGAGTCAGGACTTTTAGCTGCTAACATACAACAAAAAGCTGCCAGTTACTTTAAAATCAGCATGCAAGAAGTTACCTATTTCAAACTAGTTGGGAAGAGTGTGTCACTACGGCATACCTATCTGTAAACCTGCACACTATCCATAACAAACCTGTGCATCTCATTCATTAAGTTAAGAGGGCTTTTCAAGCTTTGAAGGGAGTTTTTTATGCTTACATATAGCTTATCTGAAAACCCAGAATCTTATTCTGGAGCAGTGAGGTAGTAGATGTAACCATCCTCATGTAGATGTCACACTTCTCCAAAGTTCGCATGCCCAGTCTCCTTGGCATGTTCTCTGGCTTCCACTTGTCCAGTTAACCCCTTCTGGCACACCATGCATCTTAGTGTAAAGCGATTTACATCAGTAAACTGCCTCTTTCGTCTGGCTTCATCTGCCAATTCCAATGCTTGTGCAAGAACAACGTCATCATTTGTTGAGAAAATGGTCAGGGAAGGGACGTCTGAGTCAGGGATTTTACGTTCGAGTGGATCATAATGAATCCCATCATAAATCAGAAGGACCCGCCTAGCATAGCCAGCATCTTCCCCAAAACGGTCAATTCTGACTGTCTGTGTATCCACTACACAGATTTCACACTGATAAAACTTAGACAGAATGGATACTTCAATGGCTCCTCCCCATGTATCTTCTCTTCTGATCCACTCACAATACTCTTCATTGGTTTTCCCTAGTACTGCCTCACAATAGGACTCTGGATCACTTGCCACTATCTGGGCTATAAGACTGCGCATCTCCGGAGCACATGCTGGATCATAAATGCCTCCCTCTACCACATAGAATATGCTTGTGAAGAGACAGGAGTTATCTGCTGGAACAACCCTCCTTGCAAGTACAGGCAATGCTTCCCTGACCAAAGTGGGGACACTCCTTTTTGCAACTACAGGTGACTCATTCTTGGGTTTGGTTGTGTCCTCTTCGACAATTAGAGTATCACCTGTCAAAAATAAAGAATTGTGAGGATTAGGTAGATGAAATGCAGTGTTGCTTCACCAAAGTGCATTACAAACAGAAAGGGAAAAACTACAAATACAGAGAAGCAAATCATTTAAAGCCTCCAGTATATTATGCCTCAGTTCTGACAGAATCAGATCAGCACAATAGAAAGCATTACCAATTAAATACATTACATAAGAAGCCGCAGCAGACTGTAGCTTTGGGCTCTCACTGTATATTGCTGGTTCACATAGAGACACAGGGTTTGTACTGAAGTCTCCAAATTAGCACAGTGGTTAATGTTTTCAAGTTTACTGTCCAAATCTGGAACATGAGTGATACTCAATCCCTTTCATTTTAGAGTCTCTTGAAAACCCACTTTAGAGGCAGTGAAATAGAAGATGTTTACATTTACAGAAGTTGATAAACAGGTTGGACAGTCACTGACAGCACTATTTTGCAATCAATTTTTTATTAAAGGGTGGTAGCCCCAATGTCCCAACCAAGTTTCAGGTAAGGTAATTATAATCTGCTGAAATGCAGTTTCAGTTAGGTATGGCATTCTTTTGCTCTTCCTGTCTTGAGCTGTGGAACAACACTGTATGCTGCAGAATATTAATCTTGTGTCTTTAAACACCTAGTGCCTTTTACGCCAGAGAGGACTACAGCTTTTGCTATATGTTCTTTACACTGTGTTGAAGCAGCTCGCTCATAAGGCTTTAATATTTGCAGAGAGAATGAAATAAGCTATAGAAAGAAAATGCATAGTAATCCATAACGATTTCAGTGAGCCATGAGCACGATCAGATGAGTTTATAGGGGCAACCTGAACATACTTTTAACCCAGCAGTCTCTACAACATCCATTCAAAAGTGTCCAAAAATACATACTTCTATGCATGATCCTCTCTCCTCCACCCATTTTATCCTGGGTCTGCTCTCGCTACATCTTGAGCACTCCAGGGCAAGTACCTCCTTCTTAGACCAGCCTTGCCCGGTGGGGCACACAGCAACCTCCCTGCACTGGGATTTTCCCCTCCTCCCGGCTGGATTGAGCCTTTGGGAACTACTCCCCCACCCCGCGCCCTAGGGTGAGGGGAGGAGACGCTGACCCGCAGCCTGAGCCCCCAACAGGCGCTGTCCAGGGGAGCTGCCCGGCCCACGATGGGGGCAGCCAGGAGCCCCCCAGGCTCAAGCCTGTCGCCTGAGCCCGGGCAGAGGCCGCCCGCCAGGGAGGGAGGGGGACGCGGTGTCCCCACGCTCCTCACCTGAGTGGATGCCGAGCTCCCCCAGCCGCCGCTCCCCGTCGCTCAGGTCAAGGCTCCGCGGAGGGAAGCCGAGCAGGAGGCGCTGGGCCGGGGCCGGCACCCCGGTGAGGGCGGCCAGGGCGGCCTGCAGCTCCCGGAGGCGGGAATGCGCCGTGAGGCCGGGCAGCGGGTGGGAGCCGCTCCGGGCCTTGCAGCGCAGCCGCAGCATCCTCCTCCGGGGCCGGGGCTCCCAAATCTGCTCCCCCAGCAAAATGGCCGGGGCGGCTGCCCCGCCAAGTCTCGCGAAGCTTCCGCCGTGCCTCGCTATTGGCTGCGGGCCCCACGCCGCAACCCGCGTCTCTTCCCGCGTGCCCGCGGCGCAGCCAATCCGCGGCTTGGGGTGGAACGCTCGAGACGCCCTGGGTGCCGTCACACGCACACGGAGAATCTCACAGTCGGGGGGGGGACACGTCACCGCGTTCTGCCTCCCCGCGGTCAAGGTGGACTAGGAGCGGGTGGGGGCGGGGCTCTATTATAACCTCATTTGCATAATTGCATCTTATTTGCGTATCAGACGTACCTGTTCTTTTACTCCTTCGCAGTTCAGTGGAAACTAATTGAGTGTCTGAGCTCATTTACATGCCATTGATCTCATTTGCACCCTGTGCCTACGGGCGCGTTTACGCCCCGTTTGCATGTCTAGACCTAGTCTAATTGTTCCCGTTCATTCGCCTGGCTTGGTCCCGCTCCTCTGGTTCCACACGTCTCCCCCCTGCGCATCCCCCCCCAGCACAGCTGCAGCGGTGCGTCTTAGTCCCGTGGGCGCCACATTAGCATATCATTTGCATCTCGTCGCCGGGCCGCCAGCTGGTGTCACCTGGGCAGCTCGCGGGGGGGTGCGGGCTCCGCGCCGGCCGCCTTGCTGCAGTGCGGGATCGCGCGAGCCGGCCGGTTCACCCAAGTCCTGGCTGCCGCGGGAGGCTCCTGGCCGGTGTCTGAGGCTCGCAGCGCTTGGCCGCTGCAGCAGCCGCCTGGCTTCCCACCGCTTCGTGGTACGTCTCAGCGCGGAACCCGCTCCCGGGCTGGTGCTGAAGAAGGCTGGGAGGAGGTTCTGCGCCTCAGTTCCCCCGCGCTGCGAGCGGGTGTGTCTGGGGGGGCTCGGCAGGTCGGCACCCGATGAATGGCAGAAATCCTGGAGCGGGGCTTGGGAGTGCCTGGCTGAGAGACCTGCCCAGTCCCCTGCTCAGAGGATGCTGTCAAACCAGGTGGGATTATTTCCCAGCCTTGGCATCTCGGGGACTGGCCCCTAAAAAAGTGCCTAGCAGCTGCATAATGACTTTGGGAGGTTGGGGGAAGGCTGGTCCTTTATATTTGTAGTGACTTGCAAAAGTAGGCACACTCTCCCCTAATCCTTCTGTTCCCTGGCTGAGATGGTTCATTAATGTCCCAGGTGAGGGATGTATATTTCCCCCCTCTGCTTCATTTTTCTGTGCTTTGTGTTATCTGGTGCCAACTACATATGTTACGACCTATGTATGTTACGACCTGCTGTTGACCTTGGACTACAGCTTTGAGACTTCCTTTCCCTCCCACCAGGAACAGCACAGATAAGTTGCTATGCATCTTCTTTGATTCTGTCTACTGGATTTCACAAGGATTTGTTTCTTGGTTCTCCTTTTCTTTTCCAAGAGCCTGAAGGTCCAACACTGACCAAGTGTGCGATTAGCAGCAATGTCAGGACATACTGCATTAGTCCCAGAGCAGAACAACAACAACAGCAACCAGGAAAACAAAACTTCAAATATGCGAGTCTCAGAAAAAAAGTGCTGTGAGTATTTGTGACAGTCTTGAGGAAAATAGATCTTGTGTCTTGCAATTAATTTCTCTTTTACCTGTTTATAAAAAGAGGTAGTCAGTCAGTCATGCTTTATTCCTTCTAGCTCAGTGCAGTAGTAAAGACAAATACAATTTCATCCTTAGTGCAACTCTATAGACTTCAGTGTCATTACACCAGGAATGAATTTAGGCCTATCCCGAATCCTGAAATGAGCTGCACATGCGTGCAGGATCAGGATCTTTTTTTTAACATGCACAACTTTTGTTTTTAAGTCTTTAACATAAATATCTTGAATGATTTTATTTCTTCTGACTCGATAGCTGAATTGTGCCCCCCATGCAACCCTCAGTACAAGTACAACAGTGGCAGTGCTGGCTTCCCCCATGTCACCTCCCCAAAGTGCTTCAGCTCTGATCTGGAGGGTTGTTCATTTTGTACATCCCAGTCAGTTCTTGGCCTCTCTGCTGAGCCTGCCAACAAGGGGAACAATTGTGATGTGTTTTTGTGATGTCCACTTGGAACTGAGATCATCAGAAATAATTTCATGTGGGCTCCTAAAGTAGTACTTCACGGGTTTATAACTGTTTACAATTCTTGTTTGTATCACTTCTATCCAGTTATATTTGTTACATGTTTTGCGCTTCTGGGCAAATGTTTATCTTTCAAGTTAATAATGTTTTGCAATTCAGCTGTTTAAAAAGGAACTCTGTTTTAATGTAGATTAGAGTTTTAATGTAATCTCTGTTCCTGAAAGCCACCCACATGTACTAGGCAACAAGTAGCACAACTATACTGAACAGTGGTTTAAAATAGCCCACCATGAAACATTGTTCCATATTTCTGTCTAATGTGCTTCATCAGGCAGTGATCTGGGCATGTTACATCTGTGATAGAATCATAGAATATTAGGGTTGGAAGAGACCTCAGCAGGTCATCTAGTCCAATCCCCTGCTCAAAGCAGGACCAACACCAACTAATCATCCCAGCCAGAGCTTTGTCAAGCCGGGCCTTAAAAACCTCTAAGGATGGAGATTCCACCACCTCCTTAGGTAACCCATTCCAGTGCTTCACCACCCTCCTAGTGAAATAGTGTTTCCTAATATCCAACCTAGACCTCCCTCACTGCAACTTGAGACTATTGCTTCTTGTTCTGTCATCTGCCACCACTGAGAACAGCCTAGCTCCATCCTCTTTGGAACCCCCCTTCAGGTAGTTGAAGGCTGCTGTCAAATCCCCACTCACTCTTCTCTTTTGCAGACTAAATAACCCCAGTTCCCTCAGCCTCTCCTCACAAGTCATGTGCTCCAGCCCCTAATCATTTTTGTTGCCCTCCGCTGGACTCTCCAATTTGTCCACATCCCTTCTGTAGTGGGGCGGCCAAAATTGGATGCAATACTCCAGGTGTGGCCTCACCAGTGCCAAATAGAGGGGAATAATCACTTCCCTTGTTCTGCTGGCAATGCTCCTACTAATACAGCCCAATATGCCGTTGGCCTTCTTGGCAACAAGGGCACGCTGCTGATTTATATCCAGCTTCTCGTCCACTGTAATCCCTAGGTCCTTTTCTGCAGAACTGCTGCTTAGCCAGTCGGTCCCCAGCCTGTAGCGGTGCATGGGATTCTTCCTTCCTAAGTGCAGGACTCCGCACTTGTCCTTGTTGAACCTCATCAGATTTCTTTTGGCCCAATCCTCCAATTTGTCTAGGTCACTCTGGACCCTACCCCTACCCATATCCCTGATATGTTGAGTTAATGCCAAAACTAGTGTCTACCAATCTCCATTGAACTCTTTTAATCTAGCTCTTTCAATCTTCTGTTGTCATAGGCCAGGAACAGATTTCAGCAAAGAATCCCAAAGATATTTGCTCAGTAGGAAGGATGCACACACACAATACTATGATTTAGGGCTGCATAATCTCTGAAGGTCTGTTTTGATTTTTACTGCTTTCCAAGTATCTCTCCCCCATTGATTTTCACTCCCATTGAATATCTTTATTAGGGATTATTTTTTCGCCACATGTACTAGTTGCATTTATACAGATTACACTCATTTTGTTTTTTCCTGCTTATATATCTAACCATTCTGGATCCCATAACACAGTATCTTTACTGATTTTTCAAAGCCTCCCGATCTAGGTCACTCTGGGAATTAAAATTTAACATCTTGTTTGCCTCTTCCTCCAGATTCTTTATAAAGCTATTTAAAGGGACATCATCAATTTAAAGGTTATGCTTGTGTTTGACAATGTTTTACCTACAATTGTTGCAAATAATCCTTAAAATGACTATGACTGGAAGAGACTGTGGGGAAAAATATTTATTTTTTCTCATTTGTTTACTTTGTGTATTTGACAGCACTTAGTACAGATGGCTTCCCCAAAACCAGTTTCCCTGTTGTTTGTGTGGGTTTTTGTGCACAGCAACAAGTGAGAGAAGAACAGTCCTAATAATAGACCAATATGGCTATAAAACTATAAAAAAAATTGGCATGGGGTTTGGGAGCAGGTGTAGTGCACAGATATACCTTTAACAAAGTATTTGAAACTGACTAGATTTACAGCTGACAAAGCCCCGTCAATATTGCAGTTAGATTTGCATTTTATCTTGTGTGGCAAAACCATCTCAACAGGTCATTTAGATATGGAAAAGACTTTAAATCCTATTTTGTCCATTCTGTGTTCCATTCAGTTTATATTCACTTGCTTTGACCAGTTTAATTATAGCAACACATGCTCCCATATCCCTGTCTATAATCAGTGTCTTTCATATAGTTCTATAAAACTCAGTTTTAATTAATTAGTGGATTAATTAATTAATCTGTTGCTTTTGGGAAATTACGTGACTTTTTTTTTTTTAAAGAAACAAGAAATTTTATGCAAAAACATTAATGGTAAAAAAAATCCTGCTTCTCAGCAACAGGCTAAACATTACTAATTTAGTTTCTCAGATCATTTGTTGTGTATGTTAAGGAAGGAAATTAGATTCCTGTCTGCTGTCAGTAGAGAAATATGATCTCTTTCATTAAAGAATTTTTTCCTATGTCCTTGACAGTTACTCCTTAATAGTTAAATATTTTTAACTCTGGCTGACGTATTTTGGCTGACACATTAGTCACACGTTATTTTCCCTGTTGCCCGGTGGCTGATCAGTCGTTAACCTACTTCATTAGCTAACACCCGAGAGAGCCATGCTGTGGTCCAGTGATTGCTATTAACGTTTAATTGGATGGAAGGGCATGATAATGAATCCACTGTGTGTTTCATACAGTAAGTAACCTTTTGTGTGGCTGGTAGATGGGCAGAGGCAGTGGGTTACACCAGAAATGAATTTGGCTTCTGACTTGGTTTTTGTTCTAAGCTGTTTTAATTAGTTTAATGATTTCACCGCCTCCTCTTTCCAGCATGGGCTTCCTATATGACCAACTCCCCTACTTTGATTGTAATGATTGGCCTTCCTGCCCGGGGCAAAACTTATATGGCCAAGAAATTAACACGCTACCTCAACTGGATTGGTGTGCCTACGAAAGGTCTGTACGGATTTTTGTACGTGGTAGCTTAAAGTGATGGATGGATCATGGAGCTGGCAATGAGACATTTGTTTTAATCCAGGCCAGGTTTATAGTCACTGAAAGTTGTCATAACTTGATCAGTGTTGTCCCTGGTGAACAAGCGCCTACGGCATAAAACCTTATTGGCAGTGCCAATAAAGAGCCCTAAGATTCAGTTATCCATAGCAACTGAATTCCACTTGAACCCTTAGAGGTGGTTTCTCCAGGCAGATTGGAAAGAGTCAGTATGTCGGGGAAGTTTAACTAGTGTTACTCAAGCTGTATCTATTCTGTGCTTATAGAGGGAACATCATCCCTGTGCAGAGGGCCAGCACAAAATCTGTGCGTTACTTAAGTCCTTGAAGTAGGTCTTAAGTGCTTCAGACAGAGGCTGCCAGGGCTGCCAAATTTGGTATCTTTTCTGAGAACTAAACTTTTCTTTAGGAAAGTGCATGAGATATTATAAAGCCCGTTCTGCTTGACTTGGGCCTCTTCTCTTTTCAGTGAGTGCATATAATCCTGCTTAATGGGAATAGGGATTGCACATGAATATACTGATAACTAGGAGGATAGTTATCAAAAATGTGCATTAATTTGAGGAGATCTGGGAAAAGTTACACATGGAAAATCAGATATTCTGAAATTCTATGGTGCAGTTTAAGTTTTTCAGATTTCAGTCATAAGGAATTCTCGTGGTGTTTTTGCAAAAGTTAATTTGAAGTAAAATTGCTGAAAGGTTTTAGTTGGAGGGATAGCTCATAAATTGCTGTAATCAAGATAAGGATGTGATTCTCCTCTTGGCTCACAACCAGGTAACATGTTTTTGTGAAATGCTGCAAATCACACGTCTTTGTTTGTTTTTTGTGAAGTGTTTAATCTAGGAGTATATCGTCGTGAAGCAGTGCAGTCGTACAAGTCCTATGATTTTTTCAGGCATGATAACAAAGAAGCCATGAAGATTCGGAAGTAAGTCTGTGTCAGAGGGTGAAACCCAACTTGAATAGTAGAGGAAAAAGTTCATGTCATGCTAAAGTCTGTGCAGCTGGTTTCAGACTATACCTCTGATTGTAGGAAGTGACATTTAATGTCAATAGACAAATATGGAGTTAAATTCTGCCACCATTGCTTAGGTTGAGAAGGACTTTATTGCATCAGCACTCCCACTCATTTCAATAGAAACTACTCACAGAGTAAGGTATTACACTGTGTGAGTAAAGATAGCAGATTTGGGCCTGCAGTGAATGTTTTGTGGAGTGGATTAATAATTTGTTCTACCTGAGGAAATTCCAGATTATTTTACAAGTTTTAAAAACTGCTTTGGGAGCATGTGACAGAATTTAATTTTGTGTAGACTAGTGCTCTTCAAAAATAGATATATTTTTCATTAAATCCTCATATTCCCCACCTCCATTCTCCTGGTTGCTGGCACTTTGAGAAGGAGGAAAAAAAGGCAGTTGACCCTTGCCCAGTTGACGATACAGCTGTCACTATACAGGTTTAGGGGTACTAGAAACTCCAAGAACATCTTTAAATGAATACCTGGAATTATATCGGAAGAAAGTAAATTAACCCTACCCGGTAATTTAATTTTGCAGACAGTGCAGGGGGAAATTTCCAAGCATGTGAGCTTGCTTGTGGCTCTTACAAAGGGCAGGGATATTGTTGTTAAACTCTCTAGTAATTTGGACTTTTGTATGGTCTCAGGCATACTAAAATATACCATTTTATAACCCCTATAATCTCTGTGTATTTCTCTATACCTTCCAATAGGATAAAATATTTAGGGCTTCATCCTCCCATGAGTATTTGTGGCAAAACCCCCATTGATTATAATGGCAGCAGGATTATGTTTTTTCTGTAACTGTTAAGATCAAGGCTTAGTGACTGATCATTTTTCTGAATTCTGCGTTGCTCTGGAATTTGCTTCTGAACTCAGGTTACCTCTAGGTCAGTCTAAAAGTCATGCCGTTCCAGGGTTCTGCTTTGATTTTGCACTTCTCCACCAGAATAAACAATTCCCAGCTCCAGACTCCAGATCAGTTTTCTTACAGACATTTGCGCACAGCAAAATTCACACATCGGGGCAGAGGGGACACACTCTGTGTGCTTTGTTGGGTATTCAGTACATGCCATTAAAACAGCTGCCCTAGAAGCTGGGTCTTCAGGGTGGGCATGAGGCCTCCTGCTCATGAGTAGGTAACAAACTTCAGATCCTCTTTAACAAGTTGGCAGAGATATAACTAACCTTCCAAGAAAGTGCCCTTTGGTCCTTGTATGGGCATGTCTACAAGCTGCCGTGCTCTCTCACCCCCTTGACTGGAGCATAGATATGTTCTTTTAAAGAAAGTTTATCCTTATAGATGAATGCCAAGGGTGAAATCCTTGCTCCGCTGAAGTCCATGGCAAAACTCCCATTGACTTTCATGGGGTGGAGGGCAGGATTTCACACCAGGGGTACAGTAGTGGCTGTTTAACAACAGGAGACGTCCTGGGGAGAGATGTCAAATGATGCTAAAACAATAAATCTAATAAAGGGTCTAAACCTGCTCCCATTGAAGTCAGTGGGAATTTTGTCAGAATGGGGCCCAAGGGACAAAACTCAGATGTTAAGAGAAGCATGTAATACAAATAAAAAGCAGATGGATTAAAAAGTCCTTATTGTCCCATTTAGTGACCAGTTGGGAGACCTAGATTCAGCTTCTGCTCCTAGAATCTATCTTCCCTGGCAGGCAGCACACCTGTCCCCAAAGAATATGACTCCACAGAGACCCATTTGTTCCTTTAAGGAAAGATGGCAACAGACTCCTGAGCTGGAAAGATAGAGTGCTCAGAACAGAGGCGTGGAAGTGGAAAAGGGATTTAAACAGGGTTGGCTCTGTAATTTATCCCACTTTGAGCTTTGGAGCCGTGGTTCATGAGGCTTGGAATCTGAACACTTTGCACGGTCTGCAATGCTGCCAATTTCTCTCCTTACAGACAGTGTGCCTTGGTGGCGCTGGAAGATGTGAAAGCTTATGTCACGGAGGAGTGCGGGCAGATAGCTGTAAGATAACACTTGATTATACCGAGTTTAAATCAAAAGAGTATTAAATCAAAGCCTGAGATTTTCATCCAAACCCTTCTGGCAGCTTTAAAAATTGTAACTAATGTTGTTGGGATTATTTTTTTCTGTTAGGTGTTCGATGCAACCAACACGACTCGAGAGAGGAGGGACTTGATCTTAAATTTTGCTAAAGAGAATGCTTATAAGGTGACTTTCATTGATCTGGGATAAGGACTGTAGGAGTGAATGCCTCCCTCGGGTGTATCCCATTGCCATTAGCATCAGTGCATCGGATGGCAGTTTTGGGCCCTTATCTTTGTACAGTGCCGCTGTAATTTCAGGGCTTGTGTCATCATTTCCACCTCTGCAAAGCTGGTTTGAAATGCTGTTCTGGTGTTGTTTTTCATCCACTCTGCTCCGGTGTCAATGAATATTTAAGGTGCAAAGTAGGGGAGAATCAGCACCCTTCTATGCATATGTCTGATTTGGGAAGTACCCTGTTTAATGAATTGGCTGTTGGGATATCCCAAACAAAATATTCTGCCCTCATCAGCCCTTATCTCTCTGGAGCTCAGAGATCAAGAGGATGTGTGTGGCACACATTCCTAAATAGACAGATGCCCCTCACAGTGGGTTCCTGTGAAGGTTAGTTTCTCACAAAGCATATCTGGCTAAATCTATCCCTGGGGTAACTCTGCTGACTTCATTTGTGGCTATACTGGAAATTAATATGACCTATTTACATTACTCTAGAGGCTCTTAATTCTACTAAACATGCTTCATTGCCTCCTCTCTAGGTGTTTTTTGTGGAGTCTGTCTGTGATGATCCAGAAGTCATTGCTGCCAATATCCTGGTGGGTGCTGAATGTTCATAGGCTCAGTCTGTAACATCCTTCTGTAGAAGACTTGATGTTTGTCAGGGAAGGTCACAGACTATTATAGTGGCTCACAGTAACAGCTGAGATTCATTATTATTAGAGAGCCTTACAGTAAAGTTAAATCTAATCCACAGAACTCAGGGGATTCTGGGTTTAAAGGCTTTTACTCTCCCTCATTCTGTTGTGCCTGCCTGTGGGCAGGTGATTCTGTGAAGTCGTACTGAGTGTTCTACACTAAGGGGTCTGTTTGGGCCTGGTGTTAATCTCTGTTACACCCGTGTAAATTCAGAATAACCCAGTTGAAGTAAGATAAGTCACTCTGGATTTATGCTGTCCTAAGAGAGATCAGAGTCTGGCTCAAAGACTGAGTTCTAACTTTCATTCTGATTTTCCTTTCTGCAATCACAAAGGGCATCCTAGGTTAAACTCACCCAATATTCCCTTACCCTGCTTTAGTGCAGCTTTTGCCAGGATCAGAAAAACTGGACTTTGTTATCACACCAGGCAGAAAGAAATTGAAACTGAACTGCTTAAGTGTAACTCTGCAGTTCTTATTCTGGTGCAGTCCTATCCCTGAATAAACTGCCTGGGGTGGGGTGCCCTTTGCAATACTGTATGTAGTTCTGATAGCCTTGTTCTGATGTTTCAATTCTGAAATAAGTGGTTAATATTTGCAGATGCATGGCAACCAAGACAGATGGGTTATTTATGTGGGAACTTGGAAATCAAACTAAAGCCATGAAGCATTTTATCTCGGAGCTTGATTTTATTGTCATGGGAAGATCTGCAGTAAGTGGTTTGTGTGGAAAGGCAAAAGTCAAGCCATCTGTCTCTGTCCCCAGGCCAAATGCTACCCTGTGACATTTGGAATTCTTCTTTGTTTCCTTTTCAGGAGCAGGTTCTTCACAGGGCAGATGGGTAGGGGAAATGTAAACAGTGTTTGTTTGTTTGTTTTGTTTGAAAATTGAAGAATAATGTCACTTATTCTGATTTATACAAAGTTTACTTAACTTTTATAAAATGTCTCTCTCTTGTTCAGGAAGTGAAGGCCTCCAGCCCTGACTACCCAGAGAGAAATCGAGAGTATGTGATGGATGATTTCCTGAAGAGAATAGAGTGCTATAAAGTCACATATCAGCCCCTTGATCCAGATAATTATGACCAGTAAGAGGCGAGATTTAGCAGTATGTTGCATAATGGATATGCTGTGGAAACAGACACATGGGCTGCTTTCTTTTGCCAGTTTTGTTCCCTAACCGAACATGCTGCAGTCCCTATGCTGGCGAAACTCTCATTGACTTTGCAATATGGGAGATTTGCTTGTGTGAGGCATGCAGAATTATGTCCAACATGATTTGCAAGGATTTCTCCCTAGTGTATAAAATGGGAATGTTTAAATAGAAAACTATACTACATTGTAATAGTCTGTTCTTTCTCTCTAAGAGTTTTATAAGGCACCTTAGTGCCAAGTGGTAGCAGCAGTATCAGTATTACGAGAATACACACCTACACACACACATTTTGCTTTAAAGATACTGATGAGTGTCCTTGTTTTGTGTTGACCGTAGAGACCTTTCCTTCATTAAAGTGATCAATGTGGGACAGCGGTTCCTGGTAAACCGTGTCCGGGATTACATCCAGAGTAAAATCGTCTATTACCTAATGAACATTCACGTCCAGCCACGCACCATCTACCTTTGCCGGCATGGCGAAAGCGACTTTAACCTTGCTGGCAAGATCGGTGGGGATTCTGGCCTGTCACCGCGTGGGAAGCAGGTATGTTCTTGGCAGTGTCAGGATTGACATCCTTTTAAAGTGTGTCAGTATAATAGGAACCTGGATTTAGGTCAGATTGTCTGCTGGTGTAAATGGGCTCAATTCCATGGACTTCAACAGAGTTTTGCTCATTTATGCCAGCAGATAAATTGGCCTGAATCTGACTGTCAGGAGTATGTGACTTCTCTTCGGCCTGGGGTTGAAGTCCCCACATGCACCTTCAGCAGTCACTCTCCCTGCTCCCTTGTAGCAATGCTCCCTGCCAATGAGGGGTGTTCATTCTGCAAAGGATTCATTCTTTACTGCACAAACAAGAATGGGTGTAAATTTTTATGGATTTGCCAAGGTGCCACTTAGATTGTAAAGCTGAAATGTAATAGACTAGATTTGCCAATATGAGAAATGTTACTGCCAACGCTGGGATGCAGTTTAATTAGGATAACTCCTCTTTATTGAATCCAGGGAGTGCTAGTTTACTAATTTTAATACTAGGCTCTTTTCAGGTCTTCTTTTATCTTAGACAGTATTTCTGAGATCAGGACATTTTGTTATTCTTAACCAATCAGCAGTTTATTAATTCACCTAGAACCTCATTGGTATATAAACAACAATTGATTGATCAAATGTAGATACAACAAATCTTGTAGGCGTATGCTGAATGCAAAATACACATGCAGCCTTCTGTGTGAGTAACACAGACCCAGTGTTGGGATCCAGCAACTATTCCGAGGAACAAAACAAATCACCCTAAATCTTATTACATTTACTGATTGTCACCAGTTTTAAGTTCTTTAGCATCTCTAATGCATTTATCACCCTTCAAATAATTCTCTCGAAGACTAAGGATGCCCTTGTCTTAGGGTACTCTCTCTTATGAATTTCATCCTCGCTAATTGGGGGAGGGATAGCTCAGTGGTTTGAGCATTGGCCTGCTAAACCCAGGGTTGTGAGTTCAATCCTTGAGGGGGCCATTTAGGGATTTGGGGATTTAGTTGGGGCTTGGTCCTGCTTTGAGTAGGGGGTTGGACTAGATGACCTCCTGAGGTCCCTTCCAACCCTGATAGTCTATGATTCTATTTCTTGTGTTTGGTTTGATAGGGACTAGTTTGAAACATCAAAAGCAATTGCTTACATTTCTTTTTTTGAAGTTCTGAGGCCAGTGTGCTTGGATTTACAAAGGAGAAACACATATATAGCATTACTTAGTTAAAATCCACTGTTTGGTTACTTGGCGGTGTGACAGGCTGTCCACCCCACACAATGTCTGAACAGGTAAAATAGGCCAATTAACCTTATAGGCTACACCTGGAGGAGAGCCAGGGACTGATAAGGCTTAATGGCTGATGAAGCCTAGCTGGGGGAGAAGCTGGGTAGGGAATCTAAAGAAAGGAAGTTTGAATTTGTAGGGGAGAGCCTGCAGTCACTTGTTGGAAGCAGAGAAGTAGGGAGGAGGAAACTGGGAGGGGGGACGACAATAAGCCCTGGGATGCTAGCCCTGGGAAAAGGGTCAACCCCAAGGAGTTGTGAAGAAAGAGAGTCCCCTAGCCCAGAGCCCTCACCCCCTCCCACATCCCAACCTCCTGTCTCAACCCGCAGCCCCCTCCCGCACTCTGAATCGCTCATTTCTGGCCCCACCCCAGAGCCTGCACCCCCAGTTAGAGCCCTCGACCTCACCCCCTCCCGCACCCACAATCCCCTGCCCCAGCTCAGTGAAAATGAGTGAGGGTGGGTGAGAGCGAGCCACTGAGGGAGGGGGAATGTAGTGAGTGGGGGGTGGGGGCTTGGGGAAGAGGCGGGGCCTCAGGGAAGGGCAGGGCTAGGGTGTTGGGTTTTGTGCGATTAGAAAGTTGGCAACCCTAGATGCGGGGTTAGGGAGGGTGAGCTAAGGGCTTGCACCTGCGGCCGGGATCCAGGGCCAGAGCCCGAAGGCCCACGACCGGAGTCTGCTACCCACCACTCCAGGGCTGAGGCCTGAAATCCGAGCCTCACTGCTCCCAGGAAGGTGGGGAACTCACTGGCTGCCTGCTCCTCTGGAGTTTGTGGATCCTCAGGGGGGCAGGGCCCACGCCCTGCTGGTCCCTTCCCACCCCTCCACCCCCCCCCCCGTCACTGCCCAGGAGGCTGTGGCCGTAAGAAAAGCCTGGTGGCCAAGCCGCATTTGAGAAACGCTGCAGTTTCTATTGGCCACTTGCCGAATGGCTTTCAGCTCTCGTTCTCCATTGTTTCCATTGATATCCAGCAGATGACGCTAGCGTATAACAAATTTCTTCAGTCCGTAGAAGACTTCAATGTTTCATTCATTTCAAAGATTTCTTTATCTGTTTTTTTTTCTGTATTATCTATACTGTGAATTGGAATCTCTGCTCAGTTTCAAAGTTATGCCTTGGCTAGCTGCTTATATCTTTCAGTGAGACAAGGTGGGTGAGGTAATATCTCTTGTTGGACCAACTTCAGTTGGTGAGAGAGACAAGATTTGAGCTGACACAGAGCTCTTCTTCAGGTCCTGGCCTGTAGCTCAAAAGCTTGTCTCTCTCATCAACAGAAATTGGTCCAATAAAAGATATTCCCTCACCCACCTTGTCTCTCTAATATCTTGGGACCAACAACACTGCATATATCTTTCAATGTTTTTTTTCCTTTGAGTGCCATACAGTTCATACCGCTTAATTCAGCAATTATTTAGAAAGAAAGCAAACAAAATCTCTTTACAGCTCCTCTAAATGTAGTGGACTTAGTCCATACATTCTTTGATTATATCCAATACCTTTTATTTCACATCTTTCAGGGCTTGTAGTGGAACAAGAAACATAATTTTGAAAAGACAGACAGGGTAATCACATCTAGAGAGATGGTACCTTTAATTCATAAAGCAGATAAATGTGCAGTTTCTAATTTGGGATAAAGATTGTTGGTTTGGATTTCTTGGGGTATCAGGAAGCTTGACCTATATATGTTCTTCATATTTCTATAGGTCGCCTAGCAAGCATTCTTAACTGGTGTAACTCCGTTTCTACACTCAGCTCTGGTTCTTGATAGGAAACAGTTGAGTACTCTGCACAGGAAAACAAGAAATTCTTGTCTGTCATCTGGTAGGGACTCTCTTTAGCTAGACCAAGAGAGATGGAAGTCTTATCCACAAGCAAATTATGGGAGTCTTTGGTTTCAGAGTCTAATAGCTGGAAGACTCCTTAACAAGCATTGGAGCTTTCCTTTCCTGAGGAATGTGTACTTCAGCTCTAGCTGAACTGATGCTTCCCAGACAAGATGTCCCACACATTTGGATGTGCAGATTGATTCCCATTGTCTTTAGTCCTGAAAGGAAGCTAAAGTTGGGAGCCCGTATGCAGTGATTAGTTGTAATTCTAGTTGCCGTGTTTAGCTTCCAGATTAAAAGGGGCCTGAGAGGGAGCTATGGTAACTTATTGCCAACATGTAGTCAAGGCATGTTTGACATCTATACAGCTCACAACTGTGAACATATTAACTCTAAACCCAGAGTGGCAGAAACTGGCTTTGGATGGCATCAGTTAATGCCAGTCTGGTGTGAAGTTTAGCATGTTCTTTCACAATGAAGAGTGAATTCACAATGGTTACTTTTATCATCTCCCAACCTGCTTCAATTTCTCTAGTTCGCTCAAGCCCTTAAAAAATTCATTGCCGAGCAGGAGATTGTGGATTTGAAGGTTTGGACGAGCCAGCTGAAGAGAACCATCCAGACAGCCGAGTTCTTGGGGGTCCCCTATGAGCAATGGAAGATTCTGAATGAGCTCGATGCTGTGAGTACAGTGGGGAAATGGTCCAAAGCTATACACTGAACTTCTGGGGGTTTGTAAATAAGAATAGTGAACATGAAATAATGTCTTTCCCCTCCCATCTAAACACTTTCTGAGCATTAATTACGCTTCAGAACACTATGTATTTATATTGCACCCCTCACCTCTGTGAGCTATAGAACTGCTTGGTGTAAAATTGAAAATGCCTACGGATTTTACCCGTCTAAGTATCCCAGTGCTCTTTACAGCAGATACCATTAAAAACTCAACATTCAAGGTCCCAGGTACCTGCAACAACCAACTACAGCACAACAGGCATATGTTGGGCTTTCAGTGGTTCCCACTGTAATTCTTTCATGCAAATAAGCTGTAAAGATAATAACCTGGAAATAAATACTTGTTTCCATTACACCTCTACCCCGATATAGCGCTGTCCTCGGGAGCCAAAAAATCTTACCGCGTTATAGGTGAAACTACGTTATATTGAACTTGTTTTGATCCGCCGGAGTGCGCAGCCCCGCCCCCCTGGAGCCCTGCTTTACCACGTTATATCCGAATTTGTGTTTTATCGGGTCGCATTATATCAGGGTAGAGGTGTATTTGCAGATTTAAAAACAAACCAACCAAAACCACAGCCATAGAACATAAAGGTTTGGGTTTAAAATTCAAACTAGAAAACACATTGCAGTTATTTGTGGAGGAACTTTTGCTCCTTTGCTGAGGTCATTTCCGTTGTATTCATAGATTCCAAAGCCAGAAGGGACCATTGTGATCACCTGGTCTGTTATCCCACATAACACAGGCCAAAAAACCTCACTCAAGAAACTAGTTTCCAAAGAGGGGCTCAATCCCACAGTGCAGAGGTTGAGTCTCATGTTCATCCAACTGAGCTAGCCTGCCTGTATCTGCATAATGAGGATGTTAATGCTTGCTTACCTTTCAGGAGGGGTGCGAGGCTTAAGGAATTAATGTTTGCAAGCCCGCTCCATGGTTCTCAGGTGTAAAGTGCTGTGTTAGAATTACTCCTGTCTGTTATGAAATGTAAAACAGTCGCCACATAGGCACAGAATCTTCTGTGTTCAATCCTTTCCCCCCCAGTGAATTCCCTTGTAACAAACTCCTCTTCCACCAGGGAGTGTGTGAAGAGATGACATATGAAGAAATTGAAACTCAGTACCCAGATGAGTTTGCGCTGAGGGATCAAGAGAAATATCTTTATCGTTATCCTGGAGGAGAGGTGAGCAGGTTTAAAATAATGTAGCTGAGTATGTGTAGATAGGAAAGAAGGGAATAATTAAAACAAAATTAGATTTATGTGGAAATGGCAATAGACCTAATGGTAGCATCCCAAATGTAGTTGTAATACAGTGGGTTACTGATCAGTGAATATTTCATTCATGGTGCCATGCAAGTGATACCACTTGATCGTATTTGTAAAATGTATGAGGGTTATTGTATTGTTTCCTTGGGGTTGTGGGCAGACATAGGGGTCCTTCTGCGTGGAGCTCATTGCAGGGAGAGAGTCATAGACATGATTATTTACTTTAGTTTATTATTTATTTTTATTTACATCTGTTGAAAATGTTGCTAGAGACCTGACTATCTCCACAAATTTAGGGGCCAGTTACCAGTCCAAAAATATATCTAGTTTCCCCCCTCCTCCCCGCGCGCTATCGGTTCTTCCATATTTTAAGATTTTTAACCTGTGTTTTGATTCACGTGAAACAATTTTAAGCCCTGCTCTTGGTTCTGGCATCTCCGCATGCTTGTGAAACCCCTAAACATCCTTATGCTGTTGAATCTTTCCCTTGATTTCTAGTCGTACCAAGACTTGGTCCAGCGTTTGGAAGCTGTGATTATGGAGCTGGAGCGTCAGGGCAGTGTTCTGGTTATTTCTCACCAGGCTGTTATGCGGTGCCTGTTGGCCTACTTCCTTGACAAGAGCGCAGGTATGAAAGTAAATTCACTGTGTTAGGGTGGGGTTTGCTGGTTACATCACAGAGCTTCTGGAAGGGAGATTTGCATTATTCATTTAATTTTTACAAAAACAGAACTTTTTGAAAAAAAATATTCAGTAATATAGTACTTTACACTTCTCAAGCCTCTTTTAGTCCGGAGTATCTGTAAGTGCTTCACAAATAGTTCTCCTTGCAGTGCCACTGAAATGCAGCCACTTCGGGCATGTGAGTTTAGGAAGGTTATTCTGGATAGGCCCTGTTATTGGGACTTGAGAGATGTGGGTTTCAGTTCCTGTCTCTGCCACAGACACTTCTATGACATTGGGCAAGTCACTTAATCAACCCTGTGTTTCAGTTTCCCATCTGGAAATGAGGGGTGATACCACTTTACCTGATGGGTGCGAGGAGGATAAAATCCATTAATGATTGTGATGTGCTCAGATACAGTGGTGATGAGGGTCATGTAAGTACTTAGAGCGAAAGCATCATCCAGCCAATTTCTGGACAGCAGTGGGACTAGATAGCACAGAGAAGGGAAATTATAGCCGAGGACACGGAGGTGAACTCTTAAACTTCTGGAGTGTTTGCCACGATCTTTAAGATCCACGAGGCAGATACCCTTAGAGTCCTGTGGCTGCAAGAAGCTATGTCTACACTGCAATTAGACACCCACGACTGGCCCATGCCAGCTGACTCGGGCTCGCAGGGTTACTGCTAAGAGACACTTTAACTGTGGTGTAGATGTTGCAGCCCGAGCCCAAACGTCCACACTGCAGTGAAACAACCCCTTAGCCCAAGCCCTGTGAGCCCATGTCAGCTGGCACAGTGTAGACATTGCAGTATAGACATACCCTAAGTGGGTGGGTCTCTGAGGACTTTTGCTATAAGCCTCCGTTTTTGGGGATGTCTGTGTCTGCTATTGAAAGCTATTTCCACTGGGTGGCAGGTTAGGAACAAAAGAAAAAAATCCCTATCTAAGTTCAAGACCTGTCTGTTGGGACTGTGTTGCTGGTAGGGTGACCAAATGTCCCGATTTTATAGCGACAGTCCCAATTTTTGAGTCTTTTTCTTATACAGGCTCCTATTACCCCCAACCCCCATCCCGATTTTTCACACTTGCTGTCTGGTCACCCTAGTTGCTGGCCATGCCATGTGGGAGGGACCTTGTGAGGAATCCTGGCCCCACTGAAGTCAGTGGTAAAACTCCCGTTGATTTCAGTGGAGCTGGGATTTCAGCCCTTAGGTTACAGCTCCTGGTCTCTTGGTTTCAAAGCTGGCAGGCAGAGACTGTCACTTGCAAAGGCAGTGTGATCAGAACTTGTGGTGGGAGGAACTCTCCTGGCAGACTGAATAGCAGCAGTAATGTGCCCTTAGATGGAATGACTGGACTGTGACTTGGTGGCTCAGGGAGGGGAAGAGTTGAAGCAGGAGGGAAGTGCACAAAGCTGATTCTAGGATGTCCCTCAGGACTGCAGCAGTAGACTCAAGAGGAGAGATAAAGGGATGTCAAATAAATTGAGGCGATTACCTTCTACATCTGCTTTTCAGAAAACAAAGGCCCTGATCCTGCAAAGACTTACTCACACACGTTAACTTTAAACAAGTGAGCCATCCTATTGAACCCCATGGGACTTCTCATGGGCTTAAAGTTAAGCATGTGTGTAAGTCCTTGCAAGATCCAGGCCAAACTGAGGAACCACAAAATTCCTTCATAGTTCCAAACTGGGCCCAGTACATGCCGTGTTTAACTTCTCCTTGTCTGGTTTCAGACGAGTTGCCATATCTGAAGTGCCCCCTTCACACCATATTCAAGCTCACTCCAGTTGCTTATGGTAAATATTTCCCTTTTTCTCACTTAGCTGAATGTTTATGAATTTGCTGGGCAATTTGATATCAAAATACACATGGAAAATTATGTTCTGTTAAGCATTTAAGTGCTACATTTATTATAAAAGTTAAAAGAAAATAAGGGGGAGGCCAAATGAGAGAGAACGTTATATATATAAAATGAGTAACAACCAGTTTCTTCTAAAAGAGACCCATTATCTCTGGATTATATTTATTGGCCGGGAAACCAGTTTTTCCCGTGAGATTTGAACTCTTACCTGGGAATGAACTGAACTTGAACTAGTTTTCATGTCAATAAGTGTAATCCATACCGCATGTATCTTTGTGTGAAGGCTGCCCTCGTTTACTAGCTGCACTTCTGCAGCAAAATTTACAGGAGAAAGTAATTAAAATGTTGCATATCACACACTCATGTAGAATCCAGGATTAATATTAAATTTAAAGTACTGTCTATGTACAAGTTCTTTACAAGAGAAGAAACTGAATTATTTATTGTCTCTGCAAACAATTGAGTCCAGTTGCCAGTAATTTAACTGAGAATAATTGATTTTAAAAGAAAATCTAGTTCCTCTTTTGAAGTTTCTCTTTTCATTTGGTGAAGGGTGCAAAGTGGAAACGATCACCTTGAATGTTGAAGCAGTGAATACCCATCGAGACAAGCCTTCTGGGAGTACTGTAAGTCTTTACTGAAAATCCCTGCCCTTGATTCGGGGTTGGCAAATTACACAACTAGAGCCTGCATTAAAGATAATACTGCAAATCTGAACAGTCACTGTGGAGTGCCTGCTAGAAATCTTCCATCCATTTCAGGCATCACAAAAACTGCTTTTGAAGTATTGCCCCTATAAGAATAATTACCTTCTTTGAGCAGAACTATTGCAGGTATACATTTTCCAGATATTTAGTTTGTTGTTTCCAAACATGAATGGGAGAGAGCTTATTTTTAAAACTGTTTAAATAACCATATTAGGAAAACTGAATGCAAAGTTTATCAATGCAGCCTTTTTAAGCTTTAGGGTGATCATCCCAATGTGTAATGATGCATTTCCCCCATTGTTATTGCTATGATCTGTCTTTTTAAGGTGCTCATTCTATAATTCTTTAATGTGAGCTCTCTCTCATATTTCTAAAGTTATAAATAGCATTGGACAAAAGCCTTAAATAAACTTCTCGGTTGGCTTTAACTCTGGTTCACAAGAGCTAAAATGCTGTGGAAAGGTCAAGGTCACTGCTGTAACTGTGGTCTGCCTGGAAAGCTAAACCTTCAAGGCACCATCATCAGTGCATTTGTGCTATTGCTGTTGATTCAGCTAATGATCCAGATATATGTAAAAAGCAACAGAGGGTCCTGTGGCACCTTTAAGACTAACAGATGTATTGGAGCATAAGCTTTCGCATGCGTCTGACGAAGTGGGCATTCACCCACGAAAGCTTATGCTCCAATACATCTGTTAGTCTTAAAGGTGCCACAGGACCCTCTGTTGCTTTTTACAGATCCCGACTAACACGGCTACCCCTCTGATACAGATATATGTAGTTATCTGAGGCAACTAGAGAGGTTTTTTTGTACCCTGGTCTCTTCATAATGATACTCTTAAATTTAGTAAAGACACATCTACGTATTCTGTGCAAATAAGGACATTCTGACACAGAAACTTAGGCACAGATAGTGGGAAATGACCCCTTATGACTATAAAGTGGATATGAACACCGACCTTAGCCATCAGCATGTTAGGGAACAGAAGATAGTGGCAGTGTGAGAGCCAAATTCAGCCCTGGTGTGGGCGGTTGCACCTCTACTGAAATGCAGATGTTCGAACAGCAGTGAATGTGTAATGGCCTCTGCTGCTGTCCCCACCCGCTCCATAGGCTTCAGAGCCCAAGCTCCAGCCTGAGACATAACTCCAAAGCGCTGTCTACACAGCTAGTTTTAGAGTGCTAGCACGAGCCCCGCTATCCCACGTCTGTCGACCTGGGCTGGGAAGCTCCCTTCCACGGGTTATGTAAGCACACCACGAGGCCCAAATTCAGCATCCTACCCTTGTTCAGCAAAGCACTTAAACACATGCTTAAATTGTCTGCTGAATTGAGGCCTTACGGCCAAATTTTCAAAGGTTGCTTTAGTTATTGAGTGTCCACCTTTACACGCTGACACAGGGCCTGATAGTTCAGAGGTGCTGATCATTTGCAACCGTTAGGGTCCAGGTGTTCGCCATCTTTTGACAATCAGGCTCTGCGTGTTCACGTCGAGCACTCAAAAACTGCAGCACTCAGAGTTAAAGGCCACCGGCCAAATCTGGCTCACGTAGACTGGTGTAAATCGGAAGTGATGCCATTACATTTAGACACGCTTTTGAAAACTTGGGCCTTTACCTCTCTGTGCTTTGCAAAGTGTATGTAAAGTGCTGTGAAGATGATTGTCATTAATACCTATTTCTAATCTTGTTGAACTTTTTGTGGCATCTAAGTTGTCCTCTTATTGAGCTACAGGATGACAAAAAAATCCTAGATTGACAAATTTGGAAGTTGTAGACGGGGCAAAAAGTTTTGAAGGTGTCATGCAAAGGCAACACCTGCATTGAAATGGACACTCTGAGGAGATTCAGCAAAATTTCAGTGGCGAGTTCAATTTTGGTGTTTTATAATTTGCACTCAAATTGCACTAACACGGCGACTTTGTTCCTGTGTGATACTCAGCATTGCCTCCATGAAAACAGTAGGAGCTGTTACTGTTTGGTTCTTTGCTTCCCTGGCAAGATACAGCAGCTCTGAAAATAAATCCAAGTGCTTGGGGAAATTTTACTATCAATACAGTTTTTTTTCTCTGCATCCTGTTTAAAAAAATCTTGAACCCACAGAGATAAGGGAAATAAAGCTGTTACAGTGCAGTGACAAGAGAGCATTTTAACAGCAGCTACTAGACTAAAGCAGTATCTCAACTCTTCTGTGTGCAGTGGGTCTAAGGTAAAGGGAATGGTTATAAATGGATAACTTTGAAGAAGGTGACAGGTGAAATTTTATAGTTGAGGGGCCTGAATCTGTAGCCATCCAGAAGTTTAAATTTAGCACAACACCTGTGCACCATGTGAATTCTCAAAATAGGACTTCAGTGGCGCATAGAGTTTGTGCTGATCCTCTGCACAGAGGAATTTTTCTATTGACTTCCATGGGCTTTGCATTAGGCCTCAATTGGTTTGAATGGGAGATCTGCCTGCAGAGCAGAAGCAGGATTAGGTTTCTGGTTATGGTAAGTGGAAAGTGTCTCTGGCATCAGGAATATCTTGGCATGAACTTTGATTTCAGATTGTGGTTCTGCTTTTCATTCCTTGTAATATCCTCCATTTTCAATCAGAACAACCTTCCAAAGAGCCAAACCCCTGTAAGGATGAGAAGAAACAGCTTTACGCCTCTGGCCAGTTCGGACACAATAAAGCGCACACGAAATTACAGTGTGGGGAGCAGGCCTCTCAACCCACTGGGGTCTCTGCTATTCCCAGAGGCTCGAGATGGGGCTGATCAGCAGAAGCTACAAGTCAGTGTTCAAGTGGTAACTCCTCTATCTTACTCCTCTTCCCCTGGTCAAACACAGAACTAATGGCCAAACAATTACTCCTGTTTTCTAATGGTCCTGTGCAATGCACAAATGAAATGTCTTGAAGTTTAAATGCCTTATCACCATCCCTGCTTTAAAATAGCTTCAGATTACAAACTCCTTAGAGTCAGCACATTGGGGTGCAGCTGCAATCGTGTAAGCATAAAATGCCCTGCTCCCTGCAGAGTGAATGCCATTGAATAACAATGAGTTCCTGGTTTGTGTTTTTAAAATACGATTGCCCTTTCCAGGCAGACAGGTTGATTTCTAAGGGATTCTCTGCTTGCCCGAATGTCATAAGGTATATGCAACAAAGTGATCCTCTGATCCCAGTGAAACTGATCGGCAGCTTTGCCTGCATGATCTTGTTGCGGGGAGGAATAGTTCTGCCTCTTTGTAAATTGAAATGGATTAATCGGTTTTTGTTGGTCCAAGCTGGATGCTTAGTTTTTGCACTTCTCACTGCATAAATACTGAATTGTAAGTAACACTTTTAAAGCTGAGGTCCTGATTGACCAGTGTATCTCTGCTTTCACACTGGTGTTGCTTCGCTGATTTCCACAAGCAAAAAAGAATAGCGGTAACGTGACAATTTGGGCCCCAGTTCAGTTCTAATAATTCTATCGTGGTAATAGTAAAACACAGGTCTAAATTTTCAAAAGTGACAGATTTGGGATACCCAATTTTAAGACACTTTAAAGGAGCCTGATTTTCAGAGGGCACTTGATGAAAATGGAGACAGCCAAAATATCTAGTCACTTTTGAAAATCTGAGCTACATAGAGTATGTTTTAAAACCTGAAAACATCCCTTTAAACTTAGTACTAAAAACCATTTCTCCCTGTACTGACATTAACGTTGCAGCTTATCAATATGGAATACACTGGGTTGGACAGAGCCATTTAAATGAGCGTTCAGCCAAGAAGCTGATTAACTGGCTGGACTTCATTGGTGCTTTAGGATGCAGTTTCCATGGCTTGTATGAGGTAGTTGTTTCTTATACAAGCCTGCAATGGTCCCTCCTTCACAAGAGATTCTGGGGATTGTTTCAGTTTTTCCTTGTTTGCTGCTCTGCTTTTATATTATTATTTTTTAGTCTTTGTTAAAATGCAGTATGAGTTATCCTGTGCTGTTTCTTTTTTCTTTGCAGCTTCAAATGGGAAGTGCTTGCTTGTGAGTATCACTGAACATAGCTTGTAGGCATGCTCTGTGGGTTTGTTTAGTAAGTAGCAATTCTCTTAATTATAATTGCATGGCAATCATTGGGGGGAGGGGGGAAACAATGAATGCTTGGGGCAGAAGGAAATCATTTGTCACATAATAGTCCAGCAAATCAAAGAAAGGCCATTGTTGGTGGAGAATCTATTTATCACAGGTGAAATTCATCATCTGCAGAGGCAAGTGTGAGGGTTGAAATGGAATGTAATGATGCATAGGCTTCATGCTGGCCATTTGCAGAGGGGTGAATTTCACCCCAGATCAGCAAGATTACTGGGATAGATGAATGGTGTATCAGGCCCCAAATACGTTCTGGGTGTAACCCCATAGAAATCATTCAGTGGAATTACACCAGGGGAGATTTTGGCCCTAGGTGTCTGTCTATAGCACAAGATGCTAGTAGCTGTAGTTTTGTTGTTGATCCATGCTAGAAATTCCCTATCGAGATGAATAAATGGCGAGTTACACACAGAGGTGGATGGCATGATGCAGCCCTAGTCTGCAGGACTTCAGAACCGTTTACATGAAGACTAATAAATTGTAGGAGGGAAAGTTCTGCCAGACGTCTAGTAGCCTGAGCCAGGAACTTCTTGAGTTTTAATTCCTGCTGGGACACCAACTCAATGAGGCCTTGGGCAAATCTCTTACCCTATCTGCCTCAGTCCCCCCTATGTGATAGGCAAGTATTGTCTCGCAGAGTTTTTGTGATGGTTATTTAATTATAGCCTAGTCCAAAATGGTGCTGAAAACCCTCAACGTCCATTGACTTCAAGTGGGGGTTGAATTAATTTCCCACCTTACAGGAGAAACTTGGTCCCTCATAGGATTGTGAACTTTGTAAAGTGCTTAGACAGTGAAGAGCGCTATGTTAGTGTTAAGTATAATTATTAATCTTCACTAACTATCAGATCCCATAATCCTACTGGAGGGGTGAATTGGATGGGGCTGAAGGATACTGTAGCATCTCTCTTTCTCACATCCAGTGAGAGAGGACATAAATAGTCTATTATCCCTTCTCTCCAGGGAGCCAGCAAACAACATCACCTGTGAGTCCTTGGTTTCTGTCTCAGCCACCAAGTGAGGCTGTCGAGCGAGAGGAATTTAGTGTCACACTGAACAGAATGGCCAGGAAATTACCCATACTTCCCTTTGTGCCTGTGTTGCTCAGATCCAACCTTGCTGACCATGAGGCCCTTTCTTGTCCCTGCTTTAAATGCCTGAGTGAATGTCACTGCAAATGTTAATACAAATATCTCTTGATGTACTTGATGTTTCAGTTTATACCTTATCTGTGAAATTGACTTCTATAACTTTGATGTTGCATTTTATTTACCTTATTTGTGAAACGGATTGTGCAATGTGAGATTTGGTTTTATTTAATTTTGTTGTGGTTCTTAGTAGGTGTCTCTTTGGGTTTTGTATGTGTGTGTGTTTAATGTTATCACAGCATTTTTGCTTTCTCCTCTGGGTAGTGGTATCATTTTCCCCTATGCATTTGTTGCAACTCCATTTAAATGCCTGTGGTATTGCTTATTTGCTAGTTGTTGAATACTCTTTGCCTAGAGAGCTTTACCCATTGTGGTTGCTTGCCACCATGTGGATATGGAGTAGAAGTTGTTTTATGCCCAGTTGTAGCCATTTGGCATGAAATCTCTTTCTCTCTCCAGTGATTTTTGACTGTGCCTGGAACGCACTTCTATACTCAACAATGTTACTGATGCTACATTGAATAAGTGATTTTGCTTTAAAGGAATATTCTCAAAAGAAGCTGAAAAATGTTTGCATTAGAACAAGGCCTTCAAAAAACTGTCTCTCCTTGTTGACCACCTTGGCAGCCAGAGGAATGTTTTAGAATTGGGGTCTGGGAGTCAAAAGTTATGGGTTCCATTCCATGGGTTCCATATTGACTAATTTTATGGCACTGATCAAATCACTTAATCTCCCTGTACCTTGGTTTCCCATCTGGGGATAGTACCCATGTTTATAAAGCACTTTGAGATCATCCGATGAAAGGTGCTATGTAAGTGCCAAATATCATTGTCGTGGACTTGAGGGGAGCTCATTTTAACTATTGATTTTAAATTAGAAAACTGATCTTGAAACAGCTTTTTAAAAACTCTGGTTTCCAAGGCTTTCTAATGGAGATCGTCTCAATCTGGTGTTGCATGTCAAACTGTCAAGATGACCGTGGTGGTCAGTTATTCTTTTAACTTTGTTAAAACACGTCAGGTTTTTTTTTTTTCCATTTCATAGATCCAGTGGCCAGGAATTACCCCATGCAGATGGAAGCACAGACTACACTCTTCCAGACAATTCCTCTTGGGTGTTCCAGTCATTACATGGACCTAATGCATTCCCTCCCTCCCACACACCCAAGACAGAATTTAACCCTATAGAAATTTATGTTTGCAATTCATCAGAGTTGCAAATACTTCTTGATACTGACAACATTATGCTCTGAGGAACAGATATTCTATGGCCTTCTCCATTTTATAGGCAATGCACTTGTCTTTCAGTTTCGTTGGTAGAAAAAAATGGGAGGGAGAAATGCATTTTTTCCCTGTGACACTGAAGTTAGATGCCTTGTCCTATTTGACAGCTTCATTTTCGAGCTGTATTGAAACTGCTTTTTTAAATTGTCATTTGCTAAGTTGCCTTAACTTACAGTTTGCACTTACGAATCGTATGCCAATTCTCTCTTTATGTAGAACTGTGTTCTGCAGATGGAAAGGAAAATGGTTGCTGGTTCAATTATTTTCCAGACATCTAACACTCATAGTAAGAATGGAAAATTAGGGTTTCATAAAAGAGACTCCATTCATATTTCATTCTCAAAGACAGTACCAAAAAAAGGAACGCTACAGTCAGACTTGGGTCTTGCTGTTTTCAGATGTCACTTAAACACCTCTTTCAAGCAGGGAGGGCTGTACTTTGTGTTGAATCAAGACAAGCACAACTTCCGTTCAGAATTGAACAACTTCCTTTGAATGTCTACAGACGTTATGAACATGCATCTACAGGCACAATCAGAACTTGTAGTTACCACACAGTGATCTATCCAGGAGCTGTTTGTAACTCATCTTCTAACAAAAGGATTTTGAATTTAATTGCACTTTGTAATGAAAGTGAATCTCTTTTAGCACTTTTACTGTGATTACGTAGCCTCCCTGTTCGTAACCAGCATTTTATAGGCATACATTCCTTAGGATAAATGACTATGCTGTGGGTTTCAGGGTAACGTGCCTTGTTTTGTCTTTTATTCTCTCTATCGTAACATAGATTTTAAATAACAGATACAGAAAAGTTTTTATTTAAATGATAAAGTGATGTTGTGACTGTTTTACCCAAGCTGCAATAACGCACAAAATGTCAATGGATGTTGCTAGATACTGAGTGAATGTTTTGGGTATTGTCAGCAAAGTTGTTATGCAGAAATGGCACCTTCTTAGTTCGCTCCCTGTGTCTCTCTTCGTCTCATCTGTGGACTTTCCTAACACAAACATGTACTCATGGGAGAGCAAGATGGATTTTATTCTCCGACCCTCGCTGTGGGGCGGATCCTGTTCCCACTCAAGTCGGTGAGAGTTTTGCCGTGACACATGCAGAGGAGCAAGGCCCAATGGAATGGTCAGGCTAAGGTCCAGTTGCAGAGTCTGTAGTGCTGGGGATGAGGTGAGACAGAAGGGTCCCAGCTAGGTCTCCAGGTGGGAGCTTGTGTCACTGGCAACAAGGTAAATTGTCATTTTCACTTGTCAACTGAGCAAATAAGATTTCTGATCAACAAGGGTGAAATTCACCCCTGGACTGAGGAACAACGCCTGCGTGCTGCTTATGCCTGGCCTTTGTGCTGGTACTTTGCACAGAAATTAATTGTGCCCTGAGGAAAAAACCTGCAGCCCTCCCCCGCCCCCAAATGCCATTTTAGCAATGTTATTTTCTAACCATAATCGCACTTTAAGCTCGAGTCCCTATATGAAGAACCTGGTGGAGGGGGGTGCAAACAAACTGATGGAATTTAGTCCAACACTTCGTGAAATTTAGTCTACAACATCCTTTTTTTTTTTTCCTAATGGTTTTATTTTGCATTAAAACTTGGTGTGAATGTGTTGCTATAGACACGTTCTTTATAGAATACTAGCATCTTAGGCTGGCATTGGTTCGTTATAAAAAGTTGCTTGTTTTTTCTGTTTGGTTTTTTGGGGTGGGGGAAGTTTTATTTTTAATCAAATGTGATTTGTTTGTAAATCACACATGGAAAAATGTCGTGTCTGATTTTCTGAATGTTTTGTTTTCAAAAGAGTAAATGTGTTTTGGTGATTTTTGTCATTGAATCAATGACTTAATTTGCATCTCTTTACTGCAAAACACTGATGATTAACCATAAATAAAATGGCACAGACTGATTTACAAGATTGGGCCACAATCTTCAGAAGTGCCCCTTATGTCTGAAAGGCAAATGCTCAGTAATTTCTGCAATTCAGGCCCCTTTAAGGTGACTCATATTGGGCACCTAAATACATTAGTCACTTTTGAAAATCTTGGCCTTTGTATTTTAGTTTATATAACTGCGTGTCTGTAAAGTTACCTGCTAGTTTTGCTCACATGAATGCATTCTCTTTATAAAATGCATCAGAACATCATTAGTACATTTCCTGTATGGAAGGAGCATAGTTGTAAAACCAGCAAAGTGTTTCACGTGGTTGATTTTTTTTTTTTTTTGCAAATATGGGCCTGCAAAATAGATATTGTAATGTTGTTTCTGAATATTTGTGTTGTAAACTTTCTCGTGGATCAGATAAATAAAATTAAGTAACTTTGAACCACTAGACTGCTTCAGTATTGTTTTTCTTCTCATCGCATGCTCCAATAAACTGTTCTACACTCCATGTGTGAAATGCCAACATTCTGATTTATACCCACTTTGCACAGTGATAAAGAATGATACTAAGTGCGAGTTGGTGGAGACTTGAGCTGTATATGCCCAAAGTTCGCTTCCATCATTTCCCAAGTAAAACTGTGTCCTTTAACTGTAACACTTGAAGGCACCAACTCTATAGTTGTGATGTCATAGCCCAGAAGAGAATTACATGTAGTAAGTTTAGAGGAAGAACACTATGGGAAATGTGCAGAGATGTTACGATTTGAAACCGAGATGTATCTGAAGGAGAGAATTAATGAGCACAAGATTGTGGTGTGGAAGATATTTGTTCCTAGAAGAGAAAATAGGTTACCTCTGTTGTTGTCATGGGTCATATGCTGCCAGCAAAACTCCCCTCTGAAATGAATAGGAATGGTCTTAAAAAGTGCTGGGACGTTATGGCTCTATATTTCATACTATTAAAGTATCATGCTTTATACTTAGCTATAGGTAGTCTCAGCTCCATTGTCCAGAGTGATTTCAATGGCTTATCTCCTTTCAGCTTTGCACAGTTATAATTTGTGCCTTTTTGATTTCTCATTTCTAGAGGAAGTCTGGGTTAATGATGTAGAGGTCTTGGTTTCATCATGAACTTGGCTGAAAACTTAATGGACACTTGAAAGGACAAATCTCATCGTCGAATTAGAATGCATTGCCAATCTCCTGGAGTCAACATGTTGGCTGGAGCTGCCTCTGCGGACATGGAAGTAGAGTGAGCCAGTTAACTACGCACTTTGGGCCAGTAACGTGTTTTCAGCTCTCTTTAAAAATGATAAAAGTGTTCCTGGCTGCGAATGCTAGAATGATTCACAGCTGGGGCAGAAGAAGCCTCACCTTGGGAACTTATCAAGCCCCTTTTAAAGTAACTGTGTGTGGGCGTGTGATGCCTAACGTAATCTTACACTTTCTGAATTAAAACAAACACTCTCATTTAGTATTTGACATGGGCCTGACCCTACAGTGCAGCTTTGCCCTTGACTTCTGTGAGAGCAGGCTCCCCTGTTTTTATTTATGAAAGATATCTAGTGAATTAGAGACAAGTCACAAAAATGAGGAAGAGAAAGCACGTTGGAGGAAGAGACTTGTGGGCTGTCGCACATTTGCATCCGTGGTCACTTCCTGGCTAAATGCATGAGCTTTCATCCAAATCTACCATTTGCTTACCTGCTTTCATAGGATTAAAATAACACTGCAAAGTAAAGTTAAATAGCAATGTATTGTAATTTGACTACGCACAATAGGCTGTAATCACTTTGCACAACATTGTGAAGTTAATTATTTTTCTATTATGGGTGAGCTTTTGGTCACATCATTAGATAACTGGTATTTTTTTTACCTGCCAGAATGTATGAATGTTGCTGCTAATATATTGACATTGTAACTTTTTAATAAATACTAATGAGGGGGGAGGGATAGCTCAGTGGTTTGAGCATTGGCCTGCTAAACCCAGGGTTGTGAGTTCAATCCTTGAGGGGGCCACCTAGGGATCTGGGGCAAAATCAGTACTTGGTCCTGCTAGTGAAGGCAGGGGGCTGGACTCGATGACCTTTCAAGGTCCCTTCCAGTTCTAGGAGATAGGATATCTCCATTAATTTATTTTTATCGGTTCCACAATAGAAACGTGTTTTAGGAAGTTGGGTCTGGTACCCTTACTGTGCCAGTAGTCCCGCTGCTTGCAGGGTAAGGTGCTAACAAGCATGTGTAGAACGTGTCAGAATGTGGCCCCCAGTGTTTAAGTTAAGTCCCATATCTTTGTCAATCAATGTTTGACCTTAAATTCAGCTTGCAAAAGGGATATATAATTTTATAAATATATTAGTACCGGCAACGTTGTATTGAGCTTTCTTTTACAATGAAATTCTTATACTCTGCACCTAGGTATAGGTGAATAACAGAATAGATGATAAAATGTGCTTTTAGATGTAGGAATACGTCTTGGCACAGCTAAACTTACAAATGCATTCTTGCTTCAAGCCATTACTGATGTACGTATTTGGCTGGTGCCAGAGTTATTCAGGCCGAGTTCAGAGTTTTGTCATTATTAACTGAGAGGTGAACCCAGCGATATAATTTTTCATGCTGTCTCTTTCACCTCTTAATTAAGTGCTACTCATGTGAGTGAGTGCTCCAACATGAGGACGGGTTGCACTATCTTAGCCCTACTTAAAGATTAAGCACAATTATTCTGGCCTTGTGCGATGGGGTGTACAAACCCCACATTGAACAACAAGGGCTCGTTTTGGGTTCAGCCAGCCCCGCCCCACCACATGGGCAGCAAATGCTCCATTTGCTGGAGGAATTAAAAGGCAATGAATTAGCTCATTTGGTGAGCAGTGCTGAAGGTGAGCAGCCCATAGCTCTAGTAGAACAGAAGGAAACCTAAAGGCTCTGACACAGCCGCCCAAAGGGGCCCTCCTTAAGGGAAGGGAGGACCCTCCGTAGAGACAAGCAAAGAGGGAAGTATCTGGTGGCCCTGGACATTGGC